AATTTCTCATTTATTGTCATATTTTTTCCTCACGGAATATGTCCCTCTCCGATGTTTTCTTCTCTATATATAGAAAAATATTGATCATACGTACATAAAGAATTATGTGTAAGTGTGACTAATTAGTATTTGTAATCTAAGCATCGACCATTTATTATGATCTACTTCGATTAGAAATATTACGCTTCGGATGCTTAATTGGGTCAAGCATACTGTTGACCTCGAAAATTGGTCCTTTCACGTGGCCAACCGAGAGCTATTCCACGTATTCCTCCCTGCGCACAATCAGCGAATGGTCAGACGCACACGGTCGGGACTAGCGAGGGTGGTGGCGACCGTATACACTCCGACAGTCAAGTCAGGTTTAAGTGGCCGGAACAGTACCCAGGGATTGTGCAAATCAATGATAAGGGGGAGGAGAAAATATATAAGCTTGCTATGGAGTGCTATGTAGTAAGAGTTTCATTACATTTACCTCTTGCCAAACTTTAGGTATTTATAGGTGGTATGAGCCGTTGGATGTGGGACGCGTGTATGCATCTGACGATATGAACCATCCGCTCATAGGCGTCAATTAGCCGCATCTGTAGAGTGGACGGACAGCTTGTTTCTTCTGAGTTGAATTGATACAAAGTTGATAAGTCACATCAACTAGTCTCATGAAAACGTCAAATCAATTTAAATCTTAGGTGCAGGAAGGATCTTGGCACAAATCTTTTTCTGAAATTGGCGACTGATCTTCTAACCAGGGTCCACTTGGCCTCGACTTCGGGGGCGAGGTACTTCGATCGGGTCAATAGTAAGGATCACTTGTACTTCGCAACGCTACTAGGTTGCAGAAATTGCTGATATCACTTCTAAAATACTTCGAACGAGTCTTTATCAGGTCGGAATATATGGTGGTGAATGACGTATCAGATCGGATCGTAACACATACATTTATTTTACAACCAAATATGCTCAAGGAAACATCATTGTACTTTCATACTAAATTGCTAATAATTTAATCCTAAAGTGAAATATGATATCAAATGTGCAAATTTATAAAATAATTGCCAGACAAGACGCAGTCTTACGAGTTTGACATTTAGACAATCATCTTCCAATTTTATAGTTGTATGTTGTCTTTTTATCTTCAATTTGCTTGGTACATAAGCCCCGTTCAACATGGCATTTGAAAAATCAGAAACTTTCAAGCCGTTTTTCAACATGTTCGAATAATTTTTTGAAAGTACTCTATTTATTTAAAAAAAAAAAATCGACATAAAATAATTTTCTTAAAATGCACTTTCACAAATAGTAGAAACTCCATCACACGGACCCATAAACTCCTGATTTTACCATGGTAAATTAGACTGCAGAATGAAAAATTAAAGAGGATGAAGTTGAAAGATAATCTATTATTCTATCTAATCACGTCTAATAATTATATCTCACATATAAAAACAAAAAGCTAAAACCAAACTAGTTGAAGTACGATAATTCATCAAATTCTTATATTCATACCGAGTCACCAAATGCAAAATCTTATCCGAGATAACTGTTCTATCCTATGATACATCTATGTAACCTCAGAATTTCTATGGATTATAAAGGTCTAAATATTTTGTAATAGAAATATAACACTTTCACTATAAACAGATGATGTCCACCTCGATTTATCAGTTATGGGAGTTCTGGCATTCAACGGTGTAGTATGCACCATTACTTACAGAAGATTTATCTAAATATACCCTTCTGTAGAATAGCACATACGCAGCGGCTGATTTTACGTCTTCTTCGTTGATTACTGATATGTGATTGTCGTCAAAGTTATACCACCTATTTTCGTCAAGAAGCTGCGCTGGATAGATTGAATGTAAAATATTAGGAATCTATATTCGGAGAGATATCAGAAATATTAAAACGTAAATAATGCTACCTGTACACATTGAGTTACATAATGGTTTACTTACAAATGATTTGTCACAAAGAGCATGGTGAAGTTTTTCTACTATTATTATTTTATTGAAGAAATTCTGATACAACATGTAGCACAACTGTTGAAGCGTTATGGAAAGAATATGGCATACCTTAATATGTGCTGTATAGTGCCCACTTCCCATGCTACCGTAATGATTTGTCAAGGCGTAGAGTTCATAGATCTGACAGGGGGAGTTCTTGTTGGCTATGTAATTTGTCAAATCGAAGTCGTGAATAGGAAAATTTACAAATGTGTCTAGCTTATGCTTTATCGATCTGCTGTAATAGAACCTTTTTAGATGTATAACCAGCACTTCAGGAAGCCTCCAAAGATCCAGCTTCTTGCTTGCTTGGCGCCTCTCCTTGCACTCGGGACAATACCTTCTCGCAAAGATGGGCAACTTAGAGTTAAAGACAAGATACATGTAAAGTATAGGGAATCGTGTCAAAATAGTAAAGAAAAATCTTACCACATGTCTTCAGGGACCAATGGCTCTTCCCGTAGAAAAGCTTCCAAACAAGTGTACAGTGAGAGAGGTTCAGTTCGAGCTTTCTTGCTTACATGCCCATATTTACAAACTTCTGGCAAGGTTTCTAAGTGGCTGGTATCGTAAGTTCCCAAAAGCTTTTGCGACCAATCAGCAAATATAAGGATTGACATAGATGATGATGATAACTTAACCACCATATCTTCACCCACAGTTAAATCTACGCAAGCATTATTTTCATCGACCAACTGCAATGGAAGTCTCTGGAAGGTTACTGGTTTTAAACTGCCACCGTAGGATTGTCTTGCATCAGCACCATCTGAATTGGCACAAAATTCAGTAGATCTAGCGACATGAGATTGATTTGAGGTTGCCACTGGTGCATAAGAACAATTTATACCTGGATATTCTGCGTTATTTTTTCTTAACATGGGCGAGAGCATTTTGTTAACCATCAGCTGGATATCACCTCTAGTTATGGTATCATCACATGAGATGGGAGAAACCAGAGGAGTTCCATAAGGCGTCCACCCCATATTGCTTTGAGAATTACCAGCGCCCCTAAAAAACATAAGATGGAGAAAACGGATTATCCTAAAATAGCCAGTGAAGCACTTAGGATTACATGCAAGGAGTAATTCTGCTTACTGCTCTCCACGGCGGTGTATCAATTGAAGAAACTTTGTTTTCCTCAGGTCTTTTGGTATCTTGTAGGCAGCAAGGTGATCATCATCTTTTATGGATGACAGCAATATCAATGGATCCTCCAAAAACCGGTAAATCAAGTGGCCTCTTATCTACGAGCAACACAAAGTAATAATTAGTTAGAAGTATTGAGCACGAGTTTTCCAAGAATTATTCGATTTACTCTGCAGACCTCAGCAAGCAGAAGCTTCTCATTGAGTTGCAAGGAACAAGCATTGCTCAGTGCTTGGATCAAATCCCTGCAACGACCCTGCTTTGGGACAGATACAGTACAAGCAGCCGGGAGGGCACTTCCATCACAAGTGAAAACAGTTGCTGTCATGCTACGAGTGATGGTGGATTGAAGTGGCAAGGAAAGATACATGAATGGATCAAATGTAACTGAGACTTTATTACATACAGGACAAACCAGAGTTGACTTGTATTGCCCCTGCAAAAATGTGATTTGCACGTGAATTCCAAAACACCAAGAAGGTAAAAATTTGGTTTCCTTGAGTGGACAGAGACTTGCTCTAGTCTCATTACGGGTTCTCTTGTTCAAATGCCTGCGATGACATGTTTCAAGGGATCTGATTTTCCTTGACTATAATGTACGGTTGATTTTACCAAGTGTTTTACGGAAAATTCTGCCAAGTGTAATTGTCAGATTTTTGTTTTCCAGGTCCAGCAAAATCACTGCTCTTCCTAGTCTTTTATAAACAAGTCAAATGTGGTCTTCTCTAACATTTGACTAATGAACAAACTACGCAGTAAGATGAAGTACCAACAGAGTGTAAAAATGAAACAAGTCATTTCCAGAGGCCATGCTTCAAACATTGTGAAGGAAAATTATAGTTTCATCCTCTTTCCCCAGCTTTTTTAAACAAAAAGATAATTCAAATTGAATTAAAATAATACATTAAAGTGTATGTGCATGTTTGGTAGCAATTTTTCACCCCAAAAAATCAATTTTTGTGCCGTTATTTCACTATTCCAGTAACCATTTTTGACTTCTTCACTCATAAGTAGAACCCATTTTTCTTTCTAATAGTAAAAAAATCAATTCTCATAATACTACCGAACAAACCCTACGTCTAAGTGCCACTGGCTTTCCGACTGAGCAATACAATTGTATATTTATCTTATTCGTTGCAATACAGCAGCATTATATGCATGTACTAGACATTGGCAGATTATCATACAGCTATGCAGTCCAAAGGCATCCAACAATCTCTCACCATGTAATAGAAAACAACATAAAACCGATAAAAGTTACTGCATAAATAAGAGATATCATTGAACAATACTTTAGCTCCCCCTATAAATGAAGTTTAACTGCTAAGGAAACCAACATTTCAAATGGGTATCGAGCAACAAATAGTTTGTGAATGAAAGGGACCTCCAGCATGGAACTGCTGGTTTATATTTTAGAAGTCCCTTGATTACTATATTATGTATTTCTAGATATCACAAAATTTTCATGAATTGATTTTTTCTACGAATGACGTCATTCCTTAGATATATTTTTCTAATCCAGTGGGTTAAATGAACCCAATTAACAACAAAACTGTGTTAATAGAGCATCAAATAGCTATGACTTCTTTCAATAGCATGACTAACTAAAAAATATGTAGGATTATTCCACTATCTTAGTTCCATACAATCATCAATGTGATACTTACTTGACACACATCCACAATTATGGAATCATTACGAGCAATGTGATTTGCCCAATACTCATCAGCAACTTCTTCATCAGGTCGACCATCTGCATCTCTAGATTTAATATATGGTTTGTGTTTAACACGATTTAAATCTTCATGTAGTCCATCTAACAAAAATGCAAGGAGCTCCTGCACAGAAGAGATTAATAATTCTTATCTTTACCAATTAACACAGCTTTAAGTCATGAAACTTCATGTGAAGAACTAAACCTGAGAATCATGTTGACTACATCCACTAAATTGCGGTGCAAAGCGAGCAAGCTTTGCTTTAAATGATCTAGGGACAACTGGAGTTCGCCCTGGTGCCCACAATTTTCTAAGCAACTCACCAAATGCTAAAGCAAGCTCACCCTGCATATTAAAATAAAAATCAGAAAAATGAAAGCATATTCAAAAATTAATCATGTTTACAGCTCAAAACACTCTAGCAGGTGACTTTCCAGGCATTTCATATACATCAGTAATAAGAAAAACAAGTTTAATTCAAAATGCCAGGCATGTGCCTCAAACATGCTGCAGATAGTTAAATGACCAGTCCAGGACTAGTATACAGTAGATTAAAATTTGCCGTTTCAACCTCTGACCAAAACCCAAATTTAAAACTCTATGATCTGCCTATATTTAATGGACAAACAGTAGATGTGTCGACTAAAATATTATGCTGGAATAAAGGAAGCTTTAATTGCACAACTTCTCACACAAACAAAGCCAATAATGGCAGGTCAGAAAAGTTCTTATAGCTTATTGCATGATTTGTATATGAGACCGTCAATTACTTCTCTGTTAGAGCAACAATCTCAAGTCACACATGAGTGGGTCAAGGCAAAAAGGATAAAATAAGACAACTTTTCTTATTAACGCAAAAGACGAGACTCATTATTCTTTTCTTCATACCATTTATTTTCATAACGTCAAGCTAAGATGTGTTATCGAGCAGGCAAGGCTAAAACAAATATTTGTTGAATAAGGCTAAATACTTGCCAGCTCTCATAGCGAGGCCTTTCTTATTGGATTGAAGCCAACACAAGATAAGCGATTGCCTGACTTTATTTTCTGAGTCCCTCAAGCCCCCTATTGATAAAATAGAAAGGGGAAAGGCACCAGATGCCGGTGCATACCTCTATCTTGGTATAGCTAAAAAGTACAAACATAACTTATAGGTATTCAAACAACCTAGTTATCGCATATAACTTAGACAAATCATCATTTGAGATCAACCCATCAAACAGAACACAAGTAAAAGGGAATTCTACAAGCCTCGGCGGTTGTTTTGCAAGAGCAAAATGACATGCCGCATGGCATGGAATGATAAATAACCATGGAGGGAGCAAAGAAAACACGTTTCTTCCAAAATTATTTAATAATTCTTGTCTAACAAAACAGTTCGCAACTTTTTGCATGGATTTGTCTGATATGACACTGTTTACCCATCTAAACGAATGTAATAATCATGTCATTATCGTGAGTGAAACTTACAACCATGCCCAACGGATTCTGACGGTTTATTTCTTGATGGTAATTGTCTCGAAAATAACGTGCAAATTCAGGGGTATGAACGAGACATTGTATTGCACAATTCATAAAGCAAGTATTTCCCAGATTCAACAGTCCAGTAAGACCACAAGAAGACCCTCTTGTAATAACACTACTTGATCCGTATGCCTTCTCAACATTTGTATTCTGCAACGACTCTAAGTTACCATTTCGTGATAAATATCTGTTCGCATAAAGACCGCCTGCAGTTAACGAACTAGACTGTGAAGCAGCAACAACTAAGATCCCATTGTCTGCAGATCCATTCTCCTGGACAGAACCCACGCAATGACCAGAGTTACCATTGATAACCTCCACTAAAATCTGCTTTGGGTCATTGCACAGCAAAGGAAACGTGGAATGTCAGAACAATCTACAGCATCACACACACACACATATGCATGTGTATATGCTACAGACCACGCAAAATTGTCAATTGAAAGAATAAGTGAAAAACAAGTGACTAAACATGAATATCTCTGAATCAAGAAAACCTAGCAAAAAGTATTCAGGCAAACAAAGAAATGCAGTTACCATTAAGTGGCTATAATTACCTCTGACTCAAAATCAAATTAAGGAAGGTAAGGAATAGAGTTCAAGAACAAGTAAACCAAGTCATCAAGTATTACACTAAATAATGTGACATAAGCATGATGAAACTGATACATTAGTGGGACTGCTAAAATGGCATATAACTGATTCAGTTGATACAAAAGCAGGTTAGGTTTCTATATTCTAAAAACTAATCGTAACAAACTTTCAGAATTATAGATCAAATGTATATTTATTTCAGGCTGAATGAAGTCCTATTCATAATAATTATTGAAATCAATTCCTTCTACAACCAATTACTTTTCTATTTTACAAGAATAAGATTACACATAATTTAGGATTTGTTTGAGCCCCATTGTTTGGAAGATAGATTTTATAATAGTGATTTTTTTGTAGAATGCATGAATAAAAAGCATGGAAAAGTTTTGGAATTATGTGTAAAATTATTTTATCGGAAGAATGTAGGGTTAAAAATGATTTTAGAAAAAAAAATGAGTTTTAAAGTATGGATCTCAAACAAGGGCTTAGAACATCAACAAGCGAGAATGGCTAATGAAAATGAGCCAACAATGTGAGTTGGTTCAAACACAGATACCATATAACATATTTGCACCAAATGTTAACTTAACCCTGTTTAAGCCCCATTCTTTCCACAAAAATACATTTTTAAACAGTGTTTTGACATCATTTCAACCACATTTTTCAATAAAATAATATTACACGCAAATTCAAAACTTTTACTTATTTTTAAACTATTTATTTTCCATCAATACACTATTCCAAAATTCATTTTTCTCCCAAAATGGGGCTCAAACAAGGGCTTAACTACAAGATGTGATACCGTCTCTGTAGCAGAAATGGCACTCAATGAGACCAAAATGGTAGTACCAAAAAACAGAAAAAAAAGAAACACTCACATCCTGATCCATTTGTATATTTGCGCCATCAAGTGTCTTTTCCATGTCATTCATCAAAGAATACTTCTGACAACCATAGTAGTCCCAAAAATATACCTATGCAGGAGAAAAAACTTAGCTTCCATTTGGCAAATTTTATAACTGTTTATAGAGGGGAACAGTAATGGGTTCCATGAAGTAAGTAGATAATAAATGAGTAATAGTTATGAACGTGTGGTTGAAATTAACATTTGACTTTGACTGAATTTATCAATCATTTATAACTTGGTTGCCAAACGGAGGCTTAGTTATAAAATAACTTCATGTTTTTAAAGAAAAAATGGAAAGGTAACAATAACAAAATTGAGGAATTCTTTACTTGCTTAGGTTTAAGATCAAATATCTCACAAGCTTTTCTGTGAAGTCCACCGATGGTTTCCTGTCAAAAGAAATTCAATCCCTCTAATATTTTTAATTATCCACAGATGGGAGATGTCGATAGTTATTTTCCAGGAAAAATAAGGGAACACATTGATCAAACCTTTTTGCTAATTCTTATTGTAGATCGATCACCTTTAGGCATCAGATGCAATTGAAGCCGTAATGGATAAACTTCTATGGACAATTCTGTTTGAGAAAGACCAGAGTCAATTACTTTTCGAGCCAATACGGGGCCACCTCCATACCTAAACCAAGCAAACACAGATTTTAACGCCTTATTAGGACATCTGAATTCATTAACCCAGCAACTAAGAAAAGGTAATTGTTTCTTCTCTTGGATTAAACAAATTAGAATCCAACTTCATTGGGAAGTTGCTTTAAACGATTAAAACAATCCTTCAATTTTAAATGTTTCAAAGCTTCTGTTACAGTTCTACAATGGAACAGCTTTTGATGCAGGAACACACAAATTGATAAAGAATAATAAGAAGAAAGGGGAATCACAGGGAAGAATTGAGGGCAAAAGAAATAATCTTATTCATATAATACAAGTATTTCTAAACATTGCCCTAAGCCCCTTTATATAGAAAAGGACTTTGAAATTAAATAAACTTCTTATCTAAAGAAACTTGAAAATAAAAGATAACATTGTCAAATAAAACTATTATAATTTAGATATACTAGAATTCTACTGATTATTAGTCTCTCGCCTTTAATAGACTTTTAATTGTTTCCTTGTTGCATCATTCCTCCCCGGTTGAAAAGAACTTGACTCCGATGAGGTATAGTCCAAGTAAGCATCCAAAAGCTTTGGATCCAATTAACGAAATTCTTCTTCATTAATCCACGTAGCATCACTAAGCGGACGATCTTTCCAACGCACAAGAAACCTACGAAAACCCCCATTTTGGGATGCAATGATCTCATCGTCGAGCACCTCATCAACAATATCCTGATGTGAAAATGTGGTAATGGGGGCTCAAGGGAGCGGTTGAGAAACTTGTCCTGCAGACATGTTAGAAGACAAAATCTGAGGCTCGAATGTGCCTCGATAAAGATATAAATCTGTTATATTGAAATCTGGACTAATATTTAAGTGCGTTGGCAAATCAATTAGATAAGCATTAGTTCCAAGCCTTTTAATAACAGGGAAAGGGCCAAGTGATCTAGCATAAAGTTTTTTTGCAGCATGTTTTGGAAAACGTTCAGGTGCAAGTCTTATCATAACAAAATCGCCAATCTTAAACTCTTTATGCCTACGATGTGCATCAGCTGTTAGTTTATAGTGGTCATTGCTTAAAACAATTTTTGTTTTAATCTCTTCATGTAAGGTGCGAATATGATCAGCAAAAGATTGCGCAGATGCAGCAGGACGAGAATCAGTAGGTAACGGAACGAGGTCCAGTGTTTGACGTGGGGAGAAACCTCGAACAATCTCAAATGGGCTATGACCGGTAGACCTATTAACAGAATTATTGTATCCAAATTCAACGGTAGGCAATACCAAATCCCAATTACCCGGTTTGTCCCCAACTAAACAACGAAGCAAATTACCTAAACTACGATTTACTATTTCTGTTTGACCATCTATTTGGGGGTGGAATGCTGATGAGAACTTAAGAGTTGTCCCAAACAATTTCCATAGAGTTTTCCAAAAGTAACTAACAAATTTAACATCTCTATCAGAAACAATAGTGATTGGCAGTCCGTGTAGGTGAACAACCTCTTTGAAGAATAACTTAGCGATATATGATGCATCAGTAGACTTGGAACATGGAATGAAATGGGCCATCTTGGAGAATCTATCCACGACAACGAAAATGGAATCATGACCTCTTGCAATTTTAGGCAAGCCTAGGACAAAATCCATACTAAGGTCACGCCAAGGAGTATGAAGAACAGGTAGGGGAGTATACATCCCCGTGTTTTGACGTTGGGCCTTACCCAACTGACACGTGCGATACTGAGACACAGTGCGAGCCACATCCTTTTTAAGGGAAGGCCAATAAAATCTATCCTCAACTAAGGAGACAGTTTTATCACGACCAAAGTGACCTGCGAGACCTCCAGTATGGAGTTCCCAAATAAGGAACTCACGAAGTGAGGTGTGAGGAATACACAACTTGTTACCTTTAAAAAGATAACACTCTTTAACCAAGAAAGCAACATGATTACGAGAGGAGTTAGATACTAGGTCTTGAAAAATGAGACCAAAGTCGGGACAACTAGGATATTCATCTTTTAAACGTTCAAATCCGACCATCGTAGTACTCATAGTTTGGAGTACAATAGTAATACGGCTAAGAGCATCCGCCACTTTGTTATCGACCCCAGCTCGATGGTGGAGAATAAATGTATATTCTTGGAAAAACTCTACCCATTTAATGTGTCTATCACTCAAATTACGTTGGGAATTGAGATAGCAGAGGGCTTGGTGATCGAAGTAAAGGATAAACTCTGAGGCAATAAATAATAACGCCAATGACGAAGAGTTTGGACGACAGCATAGAATTCTTTGTCATAAGTAGAATACTTCTGCCGCGCCTGATTTAATTTCTCGCTACAATAGGCAATAGGGTAACCCTCTTGACTTAATACACCACCTATACCGATACCAGAAGCATCACATGCCACTTCAAATAGTTTAGAAGGATCAGGGTGGCGTAAAACGGGAGCTTCAATCAACTTTTGCTTAATTGTGATGAAGGCTTTTTTTGCGGATGGTGTCCAATGGAAATCCCCTTTTTTCATACATTCAGTAATAGGGGCAGTGATAGAACTAAAACCTTGAATGAATCGTCTGTAGAACGAGGCTAATCCATGAAAGCTACGGGCCTCAGTCAAAGTTGTAGGTTCTGGCCAATCACGAATTACAGAGATTTTAGCTGGATCAGCCGAAATTCCCTGGGCAGAGATAATGAAACCTAAGAATAAGACTTGTGATTGTAGAAAGGAACACTTCTTAAGGCTAGCATACAGTTTGTTAGAACGAAGTGTAAGAAAGACTTGTCTAAGGTGATCTAAGTGGTCCTCTCGCGACTTATTGTAAATCAATATATCATCAAAATAGACCACGAGAAATTTTCCAATGAAAGGTCGGAAGACGTGAGTCATCACCCTCATAAAAGTGCTAGACGCATTAGACATCCCGAAAGGCATAACTAGCCACTCGTTTAAACCATCCTGCGTCTTAAAGGCTGTTTTCCATTCATCCCCTGGTCTAATCCTAATTTGGTGATATCCACTTCGTAGATCTATTTTAGAAAACCATAAGGATCCCACTAACTCATCCAGCATGTCATCGTATGGGAAATCGATATTTTATAGTAATTTTGTTAATGGCATGACTATCGACACACATACGCCAAGATCCGTCTTTTTTGGGAGTAAGTAGGACGGGGACTACACAAGGACTAAGGCTATGACGAATAAAACCTTTAGATAGTAATGCCTCAACCTGTTTATTTAGCTCGACCCATTCCGCAGGATTCATCTTATAGTGAGGGCGATTTGGTAATTGTGATCTCGGGACCAAGTCGAGTGCATGTTGAATATCACGAATGGGAGGGAGTTCATCAGGTAGGTCATCTGGCATGACATCGCTAAACTCCTCTAACAATGGAGTGGTAACAAGGAGGCGATCAGAGTTTGCTTCAGTAGTAGGTTGGGAACATGCTTTGGTAACTAACGCAAACATCAACCCGGTGTCGTGCACCTCAAGCTCAAAGGCCTTATGGAACAAGACCTGAATTCGGTTCTTTGTACTTGTAGCACAAGTGGGTGTTGTTTTAGGCGGTGGTCTCTTTGGGGGGTCAAATGGTTTGGCTGAAAGAAGCCGAATGGGTTTGCCATTATGGACAAACTCATAAGTGTTATCACGCCCGAAGTGCTTAACATCATGATCGTAGAGCTAAAGGCGACCCAAAAGGACGTGAGCAACATCCATAGGTAGAATGTCACAGTAAAGGTCTTCTGAGTATGGGCCAAATGTAAGGGATACAAGACAACGATGAGTGACAGGCAAAGAAGTCCTATCGACCCATGCCACCTTAAAAGGGCGAGGGTGGGGTTCGGGCTTGAAGCCGAATTTGGTTACCGCTGAGGTGGAAACGACGTTCATGGTACTACCCCCGTCAATTACTAATTTGCAAGAACGAGAGTTACACAGTATGTACGTGTGGAATATTGATGTCCTTTTCCAAGAATCAGAGTCAACAGGGGTGGAGAGGATGCATCTCATGATCGAGACAACAACCTCATCCTCCACGTGACACTCAAGTTGTTTGAGGTCCTCATCAGAATGGTCAATAGGATCGACTGTAAAACATTCATCGATTTCCGATGTTGGAAGTAGTGGTTCTTGATTAACAGTAAGGGTACGATGAGGGCATCGAGATGCTATATGACCTCGATTCTGACAATGATGACACACGATTGACGGGTTAGCGATACGGGAAGAAGCAAAAGAAGAAGGTTGATTCTTATTGATATCCTGGGAAAGTGAAGGTGATGATGACGAAGACCCGACAACTTTGCAAGATTGGGTTGATGCTGGAATACTACCAGGAGTGGAGGATGGGTTAGGACGGGGTTGGCGAGGGTCCACAAAGTTCGAAAGGCCCCTTCGAGTGTATGGTGCTCGAGAGTACCTCTCATACTCGAGGGCTTTGTGATAGGCGTCCTCTAGGGAAAAGGGACTGGGCACGGTGACGTGGTGTTTGAGGTCGGGGCTTAGGCCAGTAAGAAATCGAGTAACAGTGACATTCTCGGGTTCATAAAGACTGGAACGATGGAGCAACTCATCAAAACGAGATCTATAGTCAGACACGGTCGAGGAGTTTTGTCTATGGTTAAGCAAACGCTCTAGAATCTGAGATCGATGGAATGGTGGGACATACTTTTCTTTCAGTTTTGTTTTCATTTTCGCCCGTAGGGTGATAGATTGTCCTAAATGTTCGAGGTTTCGTGTCAAGTTTTGCCAATAGGGTTTAGCAAATTTGGTGAGTTTCATTTTGGCGAAGCGAAGCCGCTGATAATCTGGCATGTGATACCAATCGAAGTATTCTTCGATGGAGTCCAGCTAATCTAAAAAGGCTTCGGGGTCTAGACGGCCATCAAATTCGGGAGCATCTACTTTAATGTTTCTAGACATGTCATCAGCAAGGTCCCTATGTCGATCAAAATGTGGGGGGCGGGGTTCAGGGTGAGTATTATATTGGACACCAGGTTCCAGATATTCAGGAGTGTGCGTTGTGAATAGGATGCTATATCGTAGGGGATTCCCCTCTCGGTGGAATGACAGGAGCCTGCTGAGCAGTGTTATGAATGTTCTGACCTATGGTCGAGGATTCAGAAAAATTATCTGCGGGGCGTTTTTCAGGATTTCGATGTAAATGATAAAATCTTTAAGTTCAGCAAAATCAGCCTTCATAGATGCTAAATCAGTTGAAAGATTGGCAACTTGCTGAGATAATACTTCGTGTGAGTGTTTTAAATCTTTGAGATTCATTTGTATTGATTTGAGAAAAAAAAATTTTTTTTTTTAACTTGGAACGAATGCAGCACTACGTAAAAGGCAAAGTACTTGAATAATAGCAAAGTTTCAATAAAAGCAGAAGGAAATCCTTACCAAAACACAAGGGAAGAACCGGCCACAGGCTTTTCACAAGATGGCAGGACTCGCTGCAGCAGTGGTGGAACGGAGATGGTGATAGCAAGAGCAGTGACCAGACTGGGGCCAGTAACAGTTGTGAAAGACTTCGAGCGGAGTGGAGTGACGAAGATGAAAATATAATGAAATTGTTGTACCTTTGTGGTGATGATGGCGACCGAACGCATGGAGGACTTGACCGTGACAGGAGCGGCGGAGATTCCGAATTTGATTGGTGGAGCAGTGGCGGGTTTGAGTGTCTGGAGCCGAAGTGGTTGGCACAAAGTGGCAGGAGGCAGTTTATGGATTTGAGAGGGGAAAACGATAACTTTAGTGGTGTGATAATCTTCCCTGTGCGACGAGGTGGTGGTGGTTATGGATGTTTAGGAAATAGATGATAGTGGTAGACTGGGGGAGTGGTTTGGTAGCGGCGAAAAATGGAGAAACCATCAATGGTGTTAGCCAGCGACCGAAACGGGGTTAGAGTTGCAGGAACTTGTAGCTTTGCAGGCGGCGAAGTGAGCGGCTGACGGTGAGATTGTCTTGGAGTCTTGGATTCAATTTGTCGGGGAAGTAAGGAGATAATAATTGGTTAATGGGTTGGGCTAGGGTAATTTAGATATGGGTTTAATTGGGCTGTTGGATTTTGACAAATTGGGTTAGTGGGTTGGTATGACAGATTAAGGTTTGGGCTTGGGGAAATTAGCGATGGGTAGGTAATATAGGGTGACTTTGGTTGAATAGCAACAGTTGTGACATATGAAGCAGCAATATGAGGAATAATCGACAATAAATTGTACTACTCTTTTTTTTTCAGAATATCTAATGCAACTACTATTGACCGGTGAACAGTTCCTTTTTTTTTTTTGGATTTTTTTTTTTTTGAAACTAAGAACAAAGAACTAAAAGGAAAACTTAAAACTGCTGCTGTGATAAATGCTCTTCCTCTTTCGTTTTGTGCTGTTCAAGGGCTGCCGTATGTAATGGTGGTTATTGGTGTTTAATGGGCGGTGGAAGGGTGGCTGTATATGAAGGTAGATGGAAACGAGGTCAAGGATTGTGGATGATTTTGTGGCCAAAGGAAACGAGCTTGCTCTGATACCAAATTGATGCGGGAATACACAAATTGATAAAGAATAATAAGAAGAAAGGGGAATCACAGGGAAGAATTGAGAGTAAAAGAAATAATCTTATTCATATAATGCAAGTGTTTCTAAACATTGCCCTAAGCCCCTTTATATAGAGAAGGACTTTGAAATTAAATAAACTTTTAATCTAAAGAAACTTGAAAATAAAAGATAACATTGTCAAAATAAAACTATTATAATTTAGATATACTAGAATTCTACTGATTATTAGTCTTTCGCCTTGAATAGACTTTTAATTGTTTCCTTGTTGCATCAGCTTTACTTCAGTTTCGGCACAACATTAATGGACATGTATCTGTCTTGCTCTAAACATTGTTAAAGGTCAAATGGACATAATGCTGGTGTTACAGCCATTAGTAAAACTTCATGCTGAAAATAGGTGAACCGAGCCAAGCCAAGCCAAGCCTGATGGGCTTGCCTCACTTTCCAACCCTAGGCTGCAGAGAATAAAAACTGTTTGCTGATTATATACTTCAAAGTTCGGTGCTTAATGTGGGAAAAGGGTCCCTAGCTTCAGAGGAATTCAGTGAGAAAGGAAAAAGGTGCGTGGGGATTGATCCTCTTTATTTAATGTATGTGGTTTGGAAGAAACATAACATGACAGCTTTAAATGAGGAAAATGCACTTCCCAAGATTGAAGGGTGTATTGATTTCCTTTTGCTTTTATGGAGTTAATTCCAATGTCTACCCATACCTGGACTCCACAAGATTTAACTAGTACGCCTTCTTCATATGATTCTTGTTCTCAGGTTCTTCCCTTTCTAATCAGTGATCAGAATAGGTTATCCATCTTTCCACAAGTGAGTAGTGTGATCGTGTGAGTTTCAGTTAAGCTGGGTTTGGGTCAAAACTGAGAATGGTCTAGCAATATTCCCCCCTATCCCGCCCCCCGCCCCAGTCACGCAGCAAGCTCTTGTTTAACTTTCCTGATCAAGCAGAATTTCAACAATTCATATGACAGTACCAAACTTGGATGCATTTTATTTTAGAACTGCATAAGAAGACAACTTGAGGAAGAAAAATCAGACATGACACCCGCTAGAGGAAGTGAACATTTTATAAACTAATGAAATTAGTTTTTGTCAAATAATTCATTATATATAATTAATTTAGCAAACTAGAGGAGATGGACACGAAACCTGTTACTAAATCAAAAAAGGAATGCCCTGGCATCAGTCCACAAAAATTTCATTTCTACTCACCATGAATATAATTGATTCCAAACTCCTTCAGGAAGCAATATATAATCTGTGCCTTCAACTAAGGCATCTTGAAGCTCAATAGCCTTAGCAGAATCCTCAGATGCTGTTTCATAAATCAAATCTGAATTTTCAATGCTTGGAGGCCTCATCATTGCACTTGAACCAGAATTGTGATGCTCAGAGATAGATCCATTTTTCATAACACTTGTTCGGCTTTGATTTACATATTTGAGCCAATCTTGCCACCATCTGTTAGCATCGTTAATAAGTAAGTCTCAAAGAAAATAATGGTTCTATACATATTTTTACCCAAAATGAACAAATAAAAGGATTGATAAATCTTCAAAAACATGAAGATTGGGTAACGTGTGATTGAGGAAAACATATTCAAATTTGGGTTGTGCTAGGATTCAATTTTCTTGCTTTAATTTTTTCAGTTTATGCTAATTAATTTCTGTTGTTTCTTCATAAATGTAAACATGTTTATTATTTTGTTTTCTTGAAAAATATTTTATATGGAACAGAATCTTGTTACCATATATAATTACTTCAATGCAACCTTGACCAATCTTATTAGAACAACAATTTCCAAGCATTTTACGAAGTTCAAAATCTTAGTTATTTTTTTCTCAAAAACCAATTTTCATTTGGCCAATCCAAACGCTATTTCTCGTTTTCAATTTTTAGGTAGAAAACTGTCTATGTAGTTAAAGTTGAAAACAGTTTCTGTAAAATAATAATAATAATAATAATAAATAAAAAATAAAGATAAAAATAAAAAAAATAAAAAAGAAGAAGAAGAAGAAGAAGAAGAAGAAGATTAGAGTGCGTTTGGTTTGTCATTTTGAGGCAATTTTCAGTTTTCAAAAACACTCAAAACGTGTTTGGTATGTTATTTTCAAAAATGCGGTTTTGAAAAGAAGGAAAATTTTATAACACAAAACTCAAAATGACTTTTTGACGTTTTGAGTGTTTTCGAAAAAAAAAAAAAAAAATTAAAACCAAACTCAAAATGACTTTTTGACGTTTTGAGTGTTTTCGAAAAAAAAAAAAAAAAAATTATAACACAACTCAAAACGACTTTTTGACTTTTCAAGTATTTTTATTGAAAACACTCAAAAAACTCAAAATAAGGAATATGAGCTTAAAATTTTCCCAAATTAAAATAATTAATAAAATCACACAAAACTTACTCAAATACAAATACCCCTCTCCCTCTCTCTCTCTCTTCCCAAGCTCTTCCAAAATGTCATAAAACTATTTTTAAAGTTTTTAAACCAACCGCATATTTTAATTTTTTGTTTTGAGAACAGTTTCCTAGAATGAAAAACCGAACACTTTTTTTGCAACCTTAAAATAATCCCTGAAAGCAAAAAAGGGAAAATGAATTCAAAATTCAAAATAGAAAACAGAAACGCAAACCAAACACGCCTTAAATTTTGGGGAACTATAACCCATATATGGCCTCCATTTTTTAAAATTCATTTTTTTACTAAACTCGTTTTCAATAACACATTTCATCGGACCCACTACTTTTATCAACTTTTCAACCATATATTTTATCAATTTTTATCCCAAAAAAAAAAAATCTGATTTTTATCCAAACCAAACATGAGCTACATTGAATCCAGCTGATTTTTTATTTTTAATATTTTTTTTTTTTGGTAGTTTTTCTATCTGGTTAACAAAATTCGTCAAACTAAAATGACTAAGAATGTAATATTATGAAGAGAGAGTAAAAACTGTTGTAAATATAATTTGACTCAAAAAGTTTCTGTTCCAGATTTTATGAGGAAAAATAACTGGGACGAGAAGGGGGAAAAGGAAGAAAGAGATGCACTTTTCCAACACGCGACATTCCCTTTTAAAACCAGCTTCCATTTCAAATCAAGAGATATACTATACTGTTGAATATCTCCTCATTCTCACATGGCCCAAGGAAATAGACTTGGATTGAGTACGCCAAACGCGGAATGACTATAAACTTATCAAATTTATGCTTAATTAAATGCAATCTTGGTAATCTTCTTAAGGCATTGAAAAATACCCAAATGAATTAGCTTTGCTATCATTCTCCCCTTAATTGAGCATTAATTGTAATGATGATCATCACTCTAAATAGAAAACATATGTTTATCACATCCATATACATATAAAAATACTAATTAACATATAAATACACGTGCCCATCAGAAAAAGGTCAAAAACTGAAACCAGCAATCGAAACTTAAAGATTGGTGATCTCAAAGAGCCATTATGTTAAAATGAAGCATTGACTGAACATAAAATAATAATAATAATAACAATAATAAATTTATAATGAAACCCAAGACTCATGATGAACTTGAAACGAGATTTTGGAAAATTAAAATAAAATAAAGGATGAAATAAGGGTAAAAATAAGCTTGCACATAAAAGAACGGAGAACGAAGATAAAATTGCAAATGGTAAATCATCTAATTCTAAAAGCTCAAATCTATTAGAGAGGGGTCGTGTGTTTTCATTAAGATGTTGCCTTCAACTCGCCCCTTCAAGGATTCATTTTCTGAACAAATGTCAAACATGTGCAAAATTGTTTTATGATACATGGCGGTGAGGCTTGAACCAAGGTGTTTTGCCTTTTTTACCATCTTAATCATCTCATCCAATAGCTTCAGATGTCACTCTTAGATAGGGGTTGCCTATATTCATTTGTATATCATCTTCAATACAGATGAAGTAATAAAAACTTCCACTTTTTATCTATGAAACACACAGCACTCCCTTGCAATGTGTCGGTCAGTCGAGAAATAATTCAGAAGGCACCCTGATTTAGGCAAGTACATCACTCCTAAAACGAAAAAATACAATGGAATCAACAACTGACTTCTTTTCCTACTAACATTGAAGTGGGATCCACTTAAACCCTAACCCTCTTTAATCCATAGCGAACTCCGATTAAATTTTTTAACACAATCCAACATATTTACCAAAAAATAACAATTCACAAAAAAGAACATCGGAAATATCGAAACTAAAGTTAAATAGATCCCATTGATGAGCAAAAATGATACCTCAGCGTGATCAGGTAGAATGTGTCGCCGGCTTTGGTACGCGCTTCGGAAGCCGTAGTAATTTCCCTGATGGTTTGCTTTTCTTCCTCCGGGGTCAGCCGCACCGCCACAGCATCTCCCATTTTACCTTTGCAACACTCCCTCTGTGAAAAACAAAAATTGCACCTTTCGGTCAAAAACTGTTTGAATTTCTAGTCCAGAATTATGGTTTCATTCTAATGTTTGGTCGCAATATGATGGAAGTGAGAATGACGGTGGAAGTTTTGGGGGGTTATAAATCTGCCGCTTCATTTTGAAGTCAGCACTCAGCTGATTCGACGAATTTTCAGGTACGTTTTCTCACTGTTCTTCAGCACATAGCCTCACGCATATATTTCTCCTTTCCGACTTAAGCATCGGAGGGGCGACGAGAACACACCTCGTTGCCTTTGTTTCAGGTATCGGAAGATCACGTTCGTGCTCCTTATCAGTCATCAAGCTCGGGAAATCTGCAGGTACGATTTTTGGTAGCATCATTTGGCGCCGTCTGTGGGAAACGCTACCAAAAGCCATGGTGAACACACGTTCAGGTCTTCCACCAGCAAGCTCATCCGCTCCAAACCAACCCCCTCCTGAGGATATCCCCGTTCCTCAAGAGGAATCATCAGAAGTGCCAGAGCCCTAGCCGGTAGTCGTCACTGCTGGAGCCTTTGAAGAGCTCAGACAACAGGTCGCCACACTGACTCAGCTGCTAAGTCAAAGAAATTCGCATCCGTCACCTACACCAGCACCCCAGGTGAGTTTTATGGCTGATGCTCGAGCTCGAGCTCAAACACATGCCCCTGACAATGGCGGAGCAGGGGCCTCGGGTAAACCACATGTGACCTCGGCCTCGAGATCAGTGACCATGGATTCCGGGGAACTCGCTAGGATTATTCAAGAAGGAATTACGGCGGGCCTACTTCAGGGCAACAAAGGGACGACAAGATTCAGTCCCAACACTCCATTTACTTCCGAAATATTAACATTCCCCTTACCAGACAGATTTAAGTATCCTAGGATCAAAGAATATGATGGGACCACCGATCCAATCAATCATCTGAACATATACACGGACCTCATGAATCTACAGGTTGCACCAGATCAGGTGATGTGCAAGGCCTTCCCGCAAACTTGGACGAATGCTGCTAGGGATTGGTTCTCAACCTTAGAGTCCAACTCCATAGCCTCATTCTCGGATTTGGCGGACAAGTTCTCCGCTTTCTTCGCAAGCAGCAAACGCATCAGGAAGACAGCAGCTTTCCTCATGCAACTTAGACAAGGGCAAAATGAGACCCTACGTGACTTCATGACCAGGTTCAACAAGGAAAGACTTCAGATTCCCGACCTACACATAACTGCAGCAGTTTCTACCCTCACATATGCTATAAAGTGCGAGGCTTTCAAGATGTCCTTATCCAAAACTCCGCCGAAGACAGTCACCGAGCTTCTTACCCGAGCTGAGAAGTACATAAATATGGAGGAAACGCTGAACCCGAAAAAGGTTGGAACATCCCATGACAGGGTCGAGCATAAGAGACAGCATGACCCGAACCCCCGTGAAGAACAACATCGGAAAAAATAGAGGCAGGAGGTTCCCCCGACGCCGTTCACACGTTTAAATACGTCAAAAACCAATATATTGATGGAGATCAAGGATATGAAGGAATTGAAGTGGCCTTTCAGAATGAGGTCACCACCCGAATCCAGGGACATGAACAAGTATTGTGATTTCCATCGGGATCATGGGCATACCACGGAGAACTGTAAGGCCCTGCAACGGGAGATTGAAGCCCTTATTAAAAGAGGACTCTTGAGTTCCTACGTCGGTAACGACAAACGGCCGAGGAACGATCGTGGCAGGGAAAAAGTCCCTGAGGCAAAAAGGGATGGTCAACCCACTGCTGGAACCATCAATATCATCATTGGAGGTATTGCCTC